CCCCACGAAGACGTATTCCCTTAACAATAAGGGGGACGGCCTACCCCCTGGAAAAATTTGTTATTTTTTATATTGTACAAAGATAAGATGCTCAGCTCACAGATAGAGCTACAGTTAAAAGTAAGAAAATATAAGCCTATTTTTTTAAATATAAGTTTGATTCTTCTTAAATTGAGCAACGAGGGTTTTTTACATTTCTTTAATAGCCCTTGAAAAATATTTGTAAAAACCCCGTGTCACATCATGGTGTTGTTAATATTTATAAAATTAATATTTTGAACAAAGTACTTTTTAGACCCACCTAGCGACACGCTTAGACACACTTAGAGATTAAAAGTTTAAAAACTGGACTTTAAAAATTCAGGAGAAGGAGGGGTGCTTAAGTGAGAATAAAAAAATAATGAAAATGTTCTCCTTTTATTCTGTTATCCAATTAAACCAAATCCAATTAATATTCTTTGATCCAATTAAAACAAATATTTCAGGAAAAAATGCGTTTTATTTTTTTGAATTGCGCGGTTACTTTTTTCGTGTTTTTATTATAGAGTTCAAGCTTCTATTTTAAATTATTCGCTTTTTGGTTAATATTTCAAAAATTTCAAATTTATGGATGAGTTGTCTTTTAATTATTTAAAAACATATGCGCCTACAAAATGTATATTAGAGTGAAAAGAGCGGGGAAAAATTGCTTTTTACAAGCTTCTGCGGTTTTTATCAATTGATCGTTCTTGTTTTTGTCTATTGATTTTTCTTTTTTGTCCATTGATCTTTCTTTTTTGTCCATTGATCTTACTTTTATGACCATTATTCTTACTTTTTTGTCCATGGATATTTTCTAATTAATCCACTAAATCTTCTTCTTTTTTTCAATTGCTCTTTATATTTTTCTCCTTTGTGCTTTCTGTTTTTATTTATTGATAACTTGGCAACTCTTTTTTGTCTTTAAAATTTTTATATTTTTGTTTCTTACAGGAGAGATAGTTTGCAGCACCATATTGGGTCCCCTCCACTATCCCTCTGATGGAGTAATTAGTGTTCTAAGTGTTAAATACCATCCCTCCGGTGGAGTAATTAGTGTCTTTTGTGCTGATAACCATCCCTCTGATTGAGTAATTAGTGTCTTTTGTGCTAATAACCATCCCTCTGATGAAGTAATTAGTGTTCTAAGTGTTAAATACCATCCCTCCGGTGGAGTAATTAGTGTCTTTTGTGCTGATAACCATCCCTCTGATTGAGTAATTAGTGTCTTTTGTGCTAATAACCATCCCTCTGATGAAGTAATTAGTGTTCTAAGTGTTAAATACCACTCCTCCGGTGGAGTAATTAGTGTCTTTTGTGCTGATAACCATCCCTCTGATTGAGTAATTAGTGTCTTTTGTGCTAATAACCATCCCTCTGATGAAGTAATTAGTGTTCTAAGTGTTAAATACCACTCCTCCGGTGGAGTAATTAGTGTCTTTTGTGCTGATAACCATCCCTCTGATTGAGTAATTAGTGTCTTTTGTGCTAATAACCATCCCTCTGATGAAGTAATTAGTGTTCTAAGTGTTAAATACCACTCCTCCGGTGGAGTAATTAGTGTCTTTTGTGCTGATAACCATCCCTCTGATTGAGTAATTAGTGTCTTTTGTGCTAATAACCATCCCTCTGATGAAGTAATTAGTGTTCTAAGTGTTAAATACCACTCCTCCGGTGGAGTAATTAGTGTCTTTTGTGCTGATAACCATCCCTCTGATTGAGTAATTAGTGTCTTTTGTGCTAATAACCATCCCTCTGATGAAGTAATTAGTGTTCTAAGTGTTAAATACCAATCCTCCGGTGGAGTAATTAGTGTCTTTTGTGCTAATAACCATCCCTCTGATGGAATAATTAGAGTCTTTTGTGCTAATAACCATCCCTCTGATGGAGTAATTAGTGTCTTTTGTGCTAATAACCATCCCTCTGATGGAGTAATTAGTGTCTTTTGTGCTAATAACCATCCCTCTGATGGAGTAATTAGTGTTCTAAGTGTTAAATACCATCCCTCCGGTGGAGTAATTAGTGTCTTTTGTGCTAATAACCATCCCTCCGGTGGAGTAATTAGTGTCTTTTGTGCTAATAACCATCCCTCTGATGGAGTAATTAGTGTCTTTTGTGTTAATAACCATCCCTCTGATGGAGTAATTAGTGTGTCTTCTGTGCTAATAACCATCCCTCTGAGAAATAACTGAGAAATAACGGGAAATGCCGTTAACAAACGTGTCGGGTTCAGTTCGAACAAAAGAAAAATTGTTTTTGAACGATTTTAACAAACCGTTAACGAACGGCTTTTAAAATGTGTGAACGTGCCCAGCCCTAGATACAGGGTAACCTAAAAGGATAAGACTGTGATGACGACTAAAAACTCAAAAATTTCAACGCTTTAAAGAGTGTTTGCGAAAAATGAAAGGGGGTATTGGCTTACGTCGAAAAATATTCCTTGGTGATGATTAAAGTTTGTAATATCTAAATGATTTGTTTGGAATTATATCGATTTCTTTACGATCCGAGTTGAATATTGCAACTTTCTTAATTTGTATGGACTCTACGTTCTTAAGTATGAGTCGTTATTAACAATTATCTCCTTATAGACGCAACAGATAGAAGTTAGAGTAGCAGCAATCACCAATTTGAATATTTTTCGACGTAAGCCTATACCCCCTTTAATTTGTGTATAAGATGTGTGCCCTTTAAAAACTCACCTTTTGAGGGTATACATCTTATACACTTAATTTACTTTTCTTGTCTTTCATACACATTGTTGTGTAAACTCTAAATAGATAATCTTTCTTAATAAGATAAATTTAATTTTACAATTTACATACAAACATTTATAGTTTACTATTTTTTTCAATAATGTTTACAATTTTATTACAAAACGTTATATTTGACAAAGTATCACATTATCTTTCCATTTTTACATAAAATATTATTCTACCAAAACCTCATGTTTTCATTCTAGATTATTTTAGTTGAATATCTATATATTTTCTCAACAATATTTTTTTATAAATATACAATTGGACATGTTAACATGTAAAGTGCTTACAAAAGTTAAAAGATGCTGCTGTATTTACATCTTTGCAGTTCTAAATTTATTTTCGTATTGGAAGAGTAAGACATACACACAAAACTTGTGAAAATTCAACTTTTAAATTTCTTGATTTTTTTCTCACTTTGAGAATTAATTTGTGGAAACTAGTTTTTTCTTGCTTTCATATCTTCGTCATTTTCTTCTTTTTCTATATTCTTTTTTTTGTCATTTTTGTTCTTTCTCCCCCAGTCCAATTTTTCTCTTTCCTCCGTTTCTTTTATTTCTTTCATCTCTTCGATGATGTTGGTAAGGACTTCATTTTTTTCTTTATCCGGCTTCGTTAATTCATCTTCAGATATCCGGTTCTGTAAAGTAATCAATAGAATTGAATCTTTGACATGATAACTCTAATTTTCTAATCTTTATATCTTTGAAACCTAATGTCGATGACCTTAGCTTTATATGTCAAACTATGAAATGTGATAGATTAAAAAATGTAATTAAAGATTTGCATCATCAGGTTGCAAAGATATAAGGATTAGATAAATTTTAGTTTGTGGAAAAAAACTCAATTTATTTAAACAATGATTAGAGAGTTAACAGTCCCTTTTCATCTTAGAAATGTTTGAATTCTGTTAATTACATTCTTTGTCTCTGTTGCAAAGAATTGTGCATGTTGTAGAAATGAAGCTTATTTTGAGATTACAACGGTCCCCTAAAGGCTAAAGACTTTATTTTTTCAAATTTAAATTTTTGTAACGTGACGTGACGGTGTGAACCGTTGATTTTTCAAATTTCATCTACAATTTGATCTAAAAATTCATAAAATTAGAATTTGAGCTCAGTTATCAGTTTCGGGAGGGGGGGGGGGGTAAAAAATATGTTCACTTACCCACATGGTTTTCAACTGATTTCTCTTAGCAACCAAGGCCTTCCTAAAATTATACACTTTTTCAAATCTGAATTATTACTTATTTTTAGATCCTAAATTTTTGTAATGGCCGTTCACATTTTTGTTGTTGCTTAGTTAGAAATAATCATAAACCGTTTAAGCAATAAAATTAAGTCAAATTTAATATTTCCACTATATAGATATTCCCCAAAAAATATTACCTTCTGAAATCGAATACTTTAAGCCCCAAGGGGTTTGATATCCTTAAATGAAAAAGGTGAAGAATAGGGTTTCTGAAAAATGTCCAAATTTTGTCTAGGCAAATTTTATGAGATTTATAAAATGCAAGCAATTTATTAGGATACTTCAATATCGCATTTTATGAACAGTGAAAGTTGTTGAGCTATTTAAGATTGGTTCAACTATTTCTATAGTAGAGAAGTAGTTCAACTCAACTTTCCTAGTTCAAGCACTTCTTCATAATCATTGATTCTGACCTTTGCTTTTAGTTTAATAGTTTGAAATCTTACCTTTTAGAAATAATATTTTCGATGCTCGTTTCTTTATTGGAATCCTCATTGGAATTCTTAGTTTTTCGGTCAACATCAAACTGAATAAAAATAAGAATTATGTCAGATAAGAAATACAGCAATTTCTAACGAGTAACAAAAAACCATCCCTTAAAAAGTGGACAAAAGAATTAGAATTAGTGCGTTGGAGCTTTAAAAAGTTCCAACAATTCATACAAATTTGCAAATATATTTTATAGATCATAAGTATAACATATTTTGAATTCCTTGCAAGGATTTATGAAAAATATTTTAACTTTAGTGTTATGGTCGCTGAAGAAAATATTTAATTTTCATGTCACTTTATTAATAATACAACATTTAAAATTTTAAAATCAGCAAATATCAGCAAAATGTATCTTTAATGACCCTAAGATATAAAATTATAAATATAGATAGGTTCAAGATTACCAACACAGGATGAGACTTCAGACTGTACGGTTTCATATTGTCTGTTTTTTTATATTCTCAATTCTCTGGAACTGCAAACCTGTTTCTTTATTTTCCAATTTATTTGAAAAGGGCTTTAAAGGGATAGTTTTATTTTAAGAGTTGCAGGTATTAATTAAAGTCGTATACGTTATGGGTAACCCTGTGCCTGTACTATAATCCATACAAATCGTGGTACATGTTTTTTCTGTCCAATTGGAATTGAAGGAATTGACTTTTTGTCACAAACTCTGATTTACTAATCCCATATCTTTGCAGGCCAACGTTGTAGACCTTAGATATTTCAAACTATGAATTCTGTTAAATCAAAAAATATAAGATGAAATATAAAAGGTTTACATTATAAGGTTGCAAAGATATAACAATTTGAAAATTTGAGTTTTTGGCAAAAACTCAATTCCTTTGCCCAGAATATTTGAAAAAAAAAATTTTAATTAGACATCTATCTATCTATCTACTGTTTTTAGATGCACCTTGTTATAAGAGACCCAATGCTATTCCTGGTATTTATTCCTTGAATACCTTCTCTACGTCGATATTCCTGATATATATTCCTTGAATACCTTCTCTACGTTGATATTCCTGATATATATTCCTTGAATATCTTCTCTACGTCGATATTCCTGATATTTATTCCCTGAATACTTTCTTTACGTCGATATTCCTGGTTTTTATTCCTTGAATTTCTTCTTTACGTCGATATTCCTAGTATACATTCCTTGAATACCTTCTCTACGTCGATATTCCCACTATATATTCCTTGGATACCTTCTCTACGTCGATATTCCTGGTACATATTACTTGAATACCTTCTCTACGTCGATATTCCTAGTATATATTCTTTGCATATCTTCTTCATTTCGATATTCGTGGTATTTATTCATTGAATATCTTTTCTATGTCGATATTCCTGGTATATATTCCTTAAATACCTTCTCTACGTCGATATTCCTGGTATAGATTCCTTGGATACCTTCTCTACGTCGATATTCCTCGTAGTTATTCCTTGGATACCTTCTCTACGTCGATATTCCTGGTATATATTCCTTGAATACCTTCTCTACGTCGATATTCCTGGTATATATTCCTTGAATACCTTCTCTAAGTCGATATTCCTGATATAGATTCCTTAAATACCTTTTCTACGTCGATATTCCTGATATGTATTCCTTGAATACCTTCTCTACGTCGATATTCCTGGTATATATTCCTTGAATACCTTCTCTGTGTCGATATTCCTGATATATATTCCTTGAATACCTTCTCTACGTCGATATTCCTGGTATATATTCCTTGAATACCTTCTCTACGTCGATATTCCTGGTATATATTCCTTGAATACCTTCTCTACGTCGATATTCCTGGTATATATTCCTTGAATACCTTCTTTACGACGATATTCCTGATATATATTCCTTGAATACCTTCTCTACGTCGATATTCCTGTACTTGTCGAAGGTGAGAAGGAGGTTCATCTTGCTAACGTCCCCATCTGCGTAGGCATTGTCAAACTTGTCCTGGGCCTGGACAAGAATTTATTTTCATGTTTTTCTAGTTTTAATGTGTTCATTGTTTTTTATTTAAAGAGACTGCAGGCGTCATTTGAAAGGACCCTTGAATTACAAAGTAGAAGGTACGATTCACAACTATCCTCTAAATATTTATCTGACCAATAAGATACCGTTGTAATTCAAGCTTTAAAAATGATAATTTCTTCATTGTTTCTGCGGCAGAAATGCTTAAGTCACTTCAACAAGAACATAATAATAAATTTTCAAAAAGAAGATGATATTGATATTTAATGAAGGTCACTTGAAATTTGGTCTCCAGTAACTTGAAAAAGACAAGATACAACGGAAATTATTTAGAAAATTCACGAAATTTTCAAATAACTTTGAAGTGTGATTTTTTGTCTTTTCCGTCTTCACATCAACAAAAGAATATAGCTCACATTTGTGTCCGCTTGATCATACGTGTCCTAGGGAATAAAATTTTCAAATTATAAGATTTCATGAGTATGGCCGGCCGGTATATTTATCACTGCTAAAATACGTCCCTGGTAAAGAGTGCCGATGTGAATCGGGATTGAAACTCTTAAAATGGAAGTTCCCTTTAGAGTTCGTCAATAATTCCTTTACGATATAAAACCTAATATTTGTAATGTGTCTCTTTAAAGAAGTTATATAAACTAAAACTTACATCAGAATTGTATCTGTTCCCAATTGTATTCACAATATCCAGTATATCCTCGTCATCCAGGTAGCTGAAATACAAATCTTGTAAAAATATTGAGATAACAAAAATATCGAGGATTTAAAAATCACACAAAATTCTTTTGGGCAATGTTCTGTTAACAAATGGCAAATTTTGGCAAATTAACGAAAAAAATCCGTTAATTTTAAATTGATCAAAGAACAAAAGCAAGTGGTAAATTAATTAGAAACGAACAACGGATACTGTTTAAAATTATGTGAAAATAATACTAATTTATTAGTATGTGCTTGAAACATATATTATTTTTTTCTAATATACAATGGTATTTTGAGAATAATCATTCTTAGTTTTCAGGTTGTTATAATATAATAATTTAATAATTCCGTAGAGTGTAGAGAGATTGATAACAAGAGTTTTATATATACCTTGCTTGGAAACTCGCCTTTGCCTGAAACTAAGCTGTTTCTAAAAGTGTCAACCCACTTAAATTGTTCAACCAAACTCACTTTTCCCGTTATAAAAAATACAATATAAGTCTGCAGTTGCTTATTTATTTTCATAATTTATTTAACAAAAATATTGTAAAATAAGGCATTGAACGAAACAAGACGAGTTTCCCTGGGGGGAGGGGGTTCCAAATTCCCAGTATAAAGATCCGAAGAAAACTTTCCACTTCATTAACTGCTTTAAAACTTTACCCTGCAACATAAACTGCTTAAGCTTCATCAGCCCTCCCCTCCCCCCTCTCCTTCATACATAACGCTCGCAACCCCTTACCCCCAATCATACCATACCTATTGCTCCCCGACCCCCCACCAATTTATATGGTTGATTAAAACTATTCTGTCTAGAAGGATCGGATTCCAGGTAAAACTCCCAAAAAAACTGGTGTTGGAAAAAATCTACAAATATGCCTTCGTTCCTCTCAAAACATTCTTTATATCCTTCATTCTCGTTCCTCTCAAAACATTCTTTATATCCTTCATTCTCTTACGTTCTGATCTTTCTTCTTACTCTTTTTTTGAATTAAACCCCCCATTCCCCCGTCCACTGTCAAGACGACCCCACTGTGAGTTGCACATGAGGAGTAGATTAAGAACCCCGGAGGTGAGAACAACGCAGCAGACAACGTTAAACTAAATAAATTATTTTCATAATTTTACCATGACTAAAATTATTTTCATTATTATTATCATCTTTTAAACAAGGTCTAACATCATTTTCATCATAAATATTATACTTTTCCACATAACTAACACCATCTTCTTAAGAAATATCATCACTTTTACCAGAACTAACATAATTTTCATCATAAATATCATCATTTTTACAAGGTCAAACATTATTTTCATCTTATATAACATCATCATTTTCACAGGGGTTCACGCCATTTTATCATAAATATCATAATTTTTACCAGGACTAACATTATTTTCGTCAGAAATATAATAATTTTTACAAGGTTTAACATCATTTTCATCAGAAACATCATTATTTTCATCAGAGGCCCAATGAAAATAAAAACCGATCTTAATTTGCTGGTTATAGTGGCTCAATGTTGAGTCTTGTTCTCATCAAAACCCTGAATGGTGTATTCAAATTCAAATTCAAACCATGAAAATCCGTAAAATACAATATTAAACCGGTTTTAGGAATAGAACTCTGTGGAAAATTAGATGCAACTTAAATCCGAAATCTCAAGCCGTAAGTAAGGCTCAACGCCAGCTTAGACCTGTAACGTATTTTCTTACATTTTTTAAATCGCCGGCTCTGAGTCAGAGCTAACATCATTTACAACATAAATATCATCGTTTGTACAAGGTCTAATACAATCTTTATCATAAATATCATCATTTTTACTAGGGTCAACACCATTTTCTTCATGAATATCATCATTTTTACTAGGACTACCATTATTTTCAAATTTTCTTAGTTACTTCAGTATTTTTGTTTCTTAACAATCATATAACCTTTCTGAAAAGTACCTGATTATTCTATTGATTTTTAGAAACATTTATGTCCAATAAACCAATACAATAGGTTTAAGTTTATTTATATATCTACATTTATCTAAATGTTATAGATAATGAATGTTGAGGTAAGCGCTTAATTGTGTAATGGATTTGTTACATAAATTGTAATCTTAGACAATATAGTTTTTATAAAGGTTACAATTAAAGGTTTCCGGATAAGAATACAACTTTGTAATTCAATTTCCTGTGGATGTCATTGACTTCGTAAACAAGAGAAGATTGATTTTATTTATAAGTTTATAACCTTTTCAAATGAACTATTCATTTTGGTATTTTCAAGAGGGAGGAGTTATGAAAGGGCTCGTGTTTTTACACCAGATTTTATAAACAAGAAGGGGATGGGGCCGGGACTAAGAATAAAATTTGTTCTCCGAAAATATGATAAATATGCAAAAAAAAATAGAAAAAGCACATTATGGGAAAGGGGGTTATTATGCAACTGCCCCCCCCCCCATCTTTTTGAGTTTAGGGTGTTTTTTTCCCGATTTGCCAGCAATCCTCTTATTTATATGCCCTTAAATCCATAGCCCTTATTAGGATAGTAATTTAAATATCTTTCAACTTAAAAATATTTAAAACTCTGAGCAAATTAGATTAAATATGAAATCTATGAAATGCACGAACATTAAAGCATCAAAATTAAAATTTGAATATGAAAAGTAAAAGTGGTTACCTTAGAAGTATCCCCACAGTGAGTTAGATAGAGGTTTATCCAATCAGCGTCCTGAAAATAGTAAAGTAATTATTCAGGGGGGTATTTTGTATCGAAGAATCACCCCCCCCCCCTCTGAAAAGCTTATTTTCTCTAGAAGCTATAATTTTTGGGTAAAAACTATCAAAGAGAATGAAAAAACTTGATTTTTGATGTCTCATGATTTTAAATTTTTTCTCAGTCATCAAAAATCATACAATCCTATGATTTTTCAATACTGTTTTCAGAATTTCAGAAGGCAGGTTGCGGCACGCCTGACGCAACCTGCCTGGAGGTAATTGCGCCAGGAGGATCGATTTTGTGCATCTATACAGCATTCTCAGCTCAACTACCATGTCTAGCCAGACACTCCCTTTAATGCACATTACTACTAACCTGGAATGGATCTGTATTGACCAGGATGAGAAGATAGATCAGCTGAGCCCCCATCATTATATAGATCACCATTGACGAGAAGAACAAATAGTTGAACCTAATAATAATAACAATTTAAAGAGACTGTAGACATAATTGACAAGTCAGCCTCCATGTATAAGGGACTGTAAGCGTAATTTCAAGTGACACTCTATGCAAAGATGACAATGTCTGATTCACAACGGTAAAACCTTCAATTATTGTCGGACTTATTCTTATTAATCTATAAAAACGTTTTTTGATGTGGCAGTTGATTAAACACTGTTTTCAAATTGTTTAAAGTTTCAAAAAATATTAATATTTACTTTCTAGAATTGGCAGAAAACAAATATTTTCCTTCAAATTGTGTTCACCGTTTTTAATGTGAAAAATTCGGTTATTTCCAGATACACAAGTAGCGTATCAGTTGTGTTTGGGTCAGACTGTACACAGAGTACACACCAGACTGTACACAGAGTACACACCAGACTGTACACAGAGTACACACCAGACTGTACACAGAGTACACACCAGACTGTACACAGAGTGCACACCAGACTGTACACAGAGTACACACCAGACTGTACACAGAGTACACACCAGACAGTACACAGAGTAAACACCGCATTTTAGAGGAATTCAAATGGTTTTCAACATATTTAAACAAAGATTTCTCTTTACCAACAGTCAAAGGTTTGAAGAGTACCGTTGTAAATCGGGCGTTGCCCTCTTTGCATGAAGAATCAATTGAAATTACGCTTACAGTCCCCTTGAGAGTGGCATGTGTGATTGATTATATTTGATGGCTAACGATAATAAAGTATGTCTCAAAAAATAATATTGCACGACCTTTATTTGTTCCGTATTACACACCCATCTTGTCATGAGATAGCTTTAGTTTCTTAATGTTCATGTTTAGTAGAAATCTCTACATCTCTACCCTTGACAAGACTCTAAAGACGATCATACGGAATTTGTTTAGGCTTTTACTTATATTCTCGGTTCCATACAACTATAAACTTTATATTCTCGGTTCCATACAAGTATAAACTTTATATTCTCGGTTCCATACAACTATAAACTTTATATTCTCGGTTCCATACAACTATAAACTTTATATTCTCGGTTCCATACAACTTTAAACTTTATATTCTCGGTTCCATACAACTATAAACTTGTTGTTAATTGAAAGGATATTATAATTTATAATTCAAACCTTTCAAAGTTTTAGGTGGTCATTCACGTCTCCTTATTTTACCTGCTCTGACGTCCTGAGGATTTGAGAGGTCCGATCGACATGATGCAGACGTTTGTTGACATGAGGATAAACACGTCAATTATTTGAAATTTTAGGATCCCAGCAACTAAAAATTTAGATAAATTAATTCACTGCAATAAAATCTGACTGAACATGAGTAAGAGAAGCATGAAAAGCATGAACAGTATGAAAAGTATGAAATATAAAAGAGAAGTATGAAAAATATGACAATGCATGAAAAGTATGAAAAGCATGAAAAGTATGAAAAGCATGAAAAGTATGAAAAGCAAGAAAAGTATGAAAAACATGAAAAGTATGACAAGCATGAAAATTATGAAAAGCATGAAAAGTATGAAAAGCATGAAAAGCATGACAATGCATGAAAAGTATGAAAAGCATGAAAAGTATGAAATATAAAAGAGAAGCAAGAAAAATATGACAATGCATGAAAAGTATAAAAAGCATGAAAAGTATGAAAAGCATGAAAAGTATGAAAGGCATGAAAAGTATGAAAAGCATGAAAAGTATGACAAGCATGAAAAGTATGACAAGCATGAAAAGTATGAAGATTGTGAAATTGGAGATATCTGCAAATATGTTTCATAAAATGTTTAAGTTAACTGATCTACAAGTCAAGTTTTTTATTCTGAAAAAAAATAAGACCAAAAATTTGAATTGCAACTATTGCATAATTAAATTAGATAAAAGCGATTATTCTTACTATTATTATTTTTTATTTGATTTTTTTTCTTGAGTAGAAACTTGAATCAGGCAATAGCAAACCATTTTCATTTTTGAATAATTTCAGTTAAAGTTTATTCCGAAGAATTCAATTTCCGTCAAAAAAAACTCTTGTAATTTTCTCTGACATTTAAGAACTTTGGAATTTTTTTATCTTGATAATCAGAAAACTTTCGATTGATTGTAAAAACGTTGTAAAATCTCTTGCTTAAATAAGAATTTACATAATTAACAAAACTATAGATTATGGTTAAAAAAGTAAAAATATTAAAACAAAAACTCTCAATGTACATGCAGAGGCCGAATTTAAAGATTTTGATCTACGGCTTAAATTTAAGCCGCGGCAGAAATATGGTTGGTTCCACTTAGAATCGTATTCAATGTTTTAATTTTTAAACCGGCGGTCATTTGAAACCAGTTTTGGAGGATTTGAGACGCGGCTCAAATTCATCAAACTCGGACTCAGGATGTTTAAAAGTTTAAATTCGAATACTTTTAAATGCAGCCTGCATTCAGTAAAAATTTTTTTAAATGTTTTAAAATGTTTTTGCGTTTTTAAAAATAAAGTAAACCCAAGTTTTCTTACCTACAGCGATGATGATCATGTTCCCAAAAATAGTCAGAATTCCTTTAAAAAAGAAACATTTTATTACAGGTTACCCAGAAAAGTCAAATTGTTAGCTAGCAAAAGGAATTAAGTCTTTGCAAAAAACAATTCTGATTTTCCAATTCCTATATCTTTTCAACCCAGTGCTGTATAGACCTTTGATAATTCAAACTATGAATTATGTTGAATTAAATATTCAAAGTTTAAAATATCAATCCGGTTGCAGAGATTTATGTATTAGAAATTTTGAGTTTGAGCAAAAACTCATTTCTTTTGTTGGAGCACCGGAGGGCGGAGCAGAACCAAATTCAACAAGTTTAATAGCGCGCAAGTTTTCAAATATTGATGAATACTAAGTTTAATTCTACAATCTTTGAAAAATGATGCTGCTAGGTTGAATTCGGCTCCAGTGCTCCAACCAACAAATTTTGTCAGATGAAAATTTGACACTTAGAGTCAACAGAATTTATTTTTCTTTACATTATCTAGGTTCCCTACAACCGCAAACTTGTTTTTTTTGCCAAATATAAAAAATTTAGTTTTAGGTTGTCATTCAAATCTGATTCGTTATGGATAACCCTATTTAAATTACCTGTATTTTCTCAAAAAAAACTTCAAAGCTTTTTGTCTCAAAAATCTAACTTTTTAATCCTTATATAAATATATAAACTTTTGTTATTTCAATTATCAAAGGTTTACAACATCAATATTTAAAGATATGAGGATTAGAAAATGAAAGTTTGAGGCGAGTAATCAGTTAATTTTAAAAATGACAATATTTATTTCTTTAAACAATATACGTTGGTAGGCGATTATATCACTACAATGAAGACGACTTTTTTAATTCAGTTTTGACTGTTAACAAGCTTTTTTCGAATTACAAGTTTATATGTAATCGAAGAGAAGATTTTTTCAATTGATAAATTCTTTTGACTTCTATGTTTTTGTGTATCCATGCTGTTTAACAGCTTAATTTATGAATTGAATAATTGAATTCGAAAGTCGTCTTCATTGTATTGATATAATCGCCTACCACACTGTATAAAAAAATATTTCTTTTGTTCCTGCATAAGGAATATAAGAGAACATCAGAACCAGAACTCCAGATCTGATTTTTATTCATTAAATGATATTTTTTGTTAATTCAATATTTCAAATTTTCTGGAATATGCAACGAAAAATTTGTCTCCATAGGCCATGCGTATCAAAATGAAAGCATTTGTTTTCAACAATTCCTTAAAAAAATGTAATATGCCTTGATAAAAATATTTTAGAATTTTTTAGTAGATTATATCATAGTTTTATGAGTCACTATTAAAGTATTAAGAATATTTAAGAGACTCTGTTTTAGTTTTACTAGCCTTAGAGGGCGCTTCGCGCCCATCTTCTAAATTAATTGTGAACATGTTCTCTTTGTGTACATCGTAAAACAAAACAAAAATAATTCGCAGATTTTCACAAAAAATTTCGTGGATTTTCAAAATTTTCAAAAATTAAATGAAGATCGTATTTTGATGGAGACAAATATTTGAAATTTTGATAATTCATAAACCTTCCCTGGGGTCACGTGATGTCCCACAAAAAATTTGGGCCCGATCGGTTCAGCCGTTTTGACGTTTATTGGATACAAACTGACAGACAAACAAACAAACAAACAGACAGACAAGCAAAATTTAAATATAGATTGGGTTTTATCATTTAATTTGCTTTGTAGATAATCTAATTTAAAATATAAAAAACGGGAGACGAGTATCGAAAAACTGCCAAATGAGTGCTTTAAATTCTATCGATATTTCGATTTTTTCTTATTTAATTTCAAAACTGTAAATGTAATGAATCCCTAAATACAAGACTGGAGAGGTAGGTCGGGAACACCAGAACTGAATACCGGATCTTCCTGATAAATAGTCAACAAATTAAACCCGATCTGCCTGATAAATAATAAACAAATTAAACCAGATGTTCCTGATAAATAGTCAACAAATTAAACCGGATCTTCCTGATGAACAACAAACAAATTAAACCGGATCTTCCTGATAAATAATAAACAAATTAAACCCGATCTGCCTGATAAATAATAAACAAATTAAACCAGATGTTCCTGATAAATAATAAACAAATTAAACCAGATGTTCCTGATGAACAACAAACAAATTAAACCGGATCTTCCTGATAAATAATAAACAAATTAAACTCGATCTTCCTGATTAATAATAAACAAACCAAACCGATCTTCCCGATAAACGATAAACAAATTAAATTGGATCTTCCTGATAAATAATAAACAAATCAAATCGGATCTTCCTGATAAATAATAAACAAATTAAACCGGATCTTCCTGATAAATAATAAACAAATTAAACCGGATCTTCCTGATAAATAATAAACAAATTAAACCGGATCTTCCTGATGAACAACAAACAAATTAAACCGGATCTTCCTGATAAATAATAAACAAACTAAACCGGATCCTCCTGATAAAAAATAAACAAACTAAACCGGATCTCAAGTTAAGACTTTACATAGTGCAATAAGCATGGTAAACAGCAAGTGTAAAGTTTAAACAGATCCATTCAACTCAACATTTCTCAACGATAGATTACTCTACAGGGTGTCTCAATTCTCAACATTTTTCAAGGATAGATTACTCTCTAGGGTGCTGTTTTTTATTATCATTACCAACACTTTTTTTATTTTTTTAAGTTGTTGTCGTTTATAGGTAAAACGTATGCAGTATTTAAAAAAAACGTCATTCACCGGTCAAACGCTCAATGCTTTTCGAATCGATTCTCCTCTAAACAAACTCAAATTTTTGGTCATTGGAGAAACTTAGAAGCACTAGAATTTAGCAAAACGAAAAATATTTGATTTGCAGAGTACAGGAATTATCAAAAATTTTGATAATAAATTTGATCAAATTTGTGTCTTGGATTTTCAAAAATTCCTCTAATAAGAAAATATGTCTGAAGCTCTGCTGTCCGTAAATATTGCGACGTATTCATGCATTAAATAAATTCTCTTTTCGTACTTTCCTTCAATGAATATAAAATACAGCAGAGATTTTACGTAGGAAGAAGCTTTAAAAAGATTGAAAAAATTGTTTTTATCATTTTATCAACCCTTTACTGAAATATTCATAACATTCCACAAATTGCTAAAAGTGGCAACAGATTAATGCAGAATTGACTTGAAAAGAAATAGGAAGAATATATTTCGTTTCATATAGAAAAAAGACGATATCTTTTTCTTTGTTATTCAGATAACGGGGAAATTTTTTTCATTCTTTTTGATATTTTGAAAAAATTATTTATTTTCCGCAATTCAGGGAATCAGGGCTTTAATAAGTGTCTATTGCTTTGTAACAACGTCAAATATACACTTAAGTATTTCTTTTAAGTCGTCTTCCTATTTCAGAGTTTTCTGATTATAACTGTATATAAATCATGCTTAATGGGCCAATTATTGTCAAAATGTTTTAAAGATCAGTTTTAATAAGAAACTTTTTAAAATACAAAAAAAGAATGTTTAAAAAAGATTTAAAATGAATTTTTCTAGGAAAAAATCACGCTTTGAAGTAACTTTATATTCTCTTTTACAATAGGAATAAAACTACAAACAATGTGAAACCTGAGCAGTCCAATTTCTCTCTCTGTGGAACCCTCCTTGTACAGAACATCGTACTGTACAACTGTTTTTCCTAAACCAAACCAAATATTAATATTTCAATAAATTTTACAGATTCAAATTTTATGATAGGAATTAAACAATACGTTTTTATCCCGATTTCTCCGAACAAATTCTAAAAATATTATTTTCAAATAAACAATAATATTTATTTATAAAATAATTATTTCTATTAGACCTGTTTTAGAGTATTTAAAGCGATGGAAAATATTAATATAATTTTTAGAATCCAAATCAATTTTGACCAAAAGGAATTGAGTCTTTGTTACAAACTCTGATTTTCAAATCCCTATATCTCTGCAACCCAATGTCATAGACATTAGAAATTTCAAACTATGAACCCTGTTACATTAAATAATCAAAGTTTGAAATATCTAATGTCTACGACATTGGGTTGCAAGGATATAGGGATACAAAAACTTATGTTTGTGACAAAGATTCAATTCCTTTCTATGATTGTCACTATTTTAATGATTTTATTTTAAAACAATGAAATAATAAATAATTTGTTATTGTTTTCATCTATATAATAATGCTCTTCTCTCATATATATGTTTATATATTTATTTATATATTCCCTATAGCTGGTCAAACGGCAGAATCAAATTGGCTACATTTTTTAGTGAACCCATGTGGGTACCCCGGGGTTGACATAAGCTAAAAGATATTTGGGAAATTTTGGAAATTTTGGCTTTTCAACTAATATACTGATTTAATCCCGGGATTGACATAAGCTTAAAGATATTTTGTAAATTCTACGGGCCAAGCTATTTAACTAATATGCTGATTTAATCCCCAGGGCTGGTAAAGTACGTGTTTTGAGCAGAAATTCGATAAAAATCAGATTTAAAAATTATTAGATGCAAATTTTTGTTAAAGTCATCAACACAACAAAAAATGAATCAAATAGGAGAGTAATCCACGTATTTGTGTGATATCACCTATGCATGTAGCATGTTTATTGTACAGAAGTAAAATCATGTTTTATATGCACTCTAAAAACATAAACAGATAGAACGAAAAACTCCGGATCAATTAAGACCAAGGCTTAATTATAGGCCGCTGGGGTCAGTAGTACAGAACACATACAGATTACAGACTAGATACACTGCTAAACGGGACAGTACACCAAATATACACTGCTAAACGGGACGGTACACCAAATATACACTGCTAAACGGGACGGTACACCAAATATACACTGCTAATCGGGACGGTACACCAAATATACACTGCTAAACGGGACGGTACACCAAATATACACTGCTAAACGGGACGGTACACCAAAGATACACTGCTAAACGGGACGGTACACCAAATAAATTATCCCCTTCTTATGACATACCTATTGCGAATGATGATGCGACTACAGAAACTATCTGAAGCAATCCAAAGCTCCGAATCTAAATTAAAATGATCTATTCTGGTCAGTTTTTAACTTAATTTCAACTTTTAAAATCCCATTAGTTAAAGGGACAGTAAGCGTAATTTCAAGTAACCCTCCGGCCATTTGTAGAGTGGCATAACTGATTTACAACAATACCCTTTAAACCTTTGTTTGATGATGAATTTCGTAGATATTCTTATTTTTATAGCGGGAAATTAAGTGCCAAGAAACCTCGCGAGTGTACTTTACGGAGTGCGCGGTAACCTCCCGGCAATCAATCTTTAGCTTATAGAAATGAGGTATCTGTCATATCGATGTCCGAACAAAGGTTTAAAGGGTACCGTTGTGAATAGGAAATGCCTCCTTTTAATAAAGGGCTCACTTGAAAATACGCATACAATTTAACAGAGCTTAGTCCAGTCCAGTCTAGTCCAGTCCAGTATAGTCCAGCCAGTCCAGGTTATTATGCAAACAACTGATCACCTGTTGAAATATATAGAGTTGAAGGCAGAGCTGAGGAGCGCTCTCAATTAACCCTTCAATGCCTAAATTTATCAAACTGTTAAAATGGGTTTAAATTTGGCTATATTGTAAAATGTTTATGTTGTTAATAATTTTACCACCGAATTTAATGAATTTAAACTGCATTAACGCCGATTTAAATTTGAATTACCGATTCAAATCCTTCCTAATCTTATACTTTAAAAAGGGGGTTCAATTTTGAACCAACAGTAGCTGTAGTTCAGCAACGTAGATCAGTGATCTAACTTTTGTTTTTCATAATCCTGAGCTATTGAAGTTCGACGGATTACGTAATTTGAATTTGGATATTGGTAAAAAGTCGCCCAATTACAAATTAGTTTTTGTTTATGACTTTTTTCAAAAATCGTTTAAAACGTATTTCGTTTTATATGATTATTGTTTATATCTTTTCGATAAAATTTTGAATTATAGCAAAAGTGGTGCTGAAAAATGATTTTTAGTCTATTAACAATTTCATGCTTTCAGAAAAATAATTAATTTTTTAAAGCTCTTTAACATTTTTCAGTAATAGGACTCCATATTTATAAAAGATGAACCAGGATTATAAAGAATTTTATGTACAGTATACTGTACAATTACAGTAAGGTACAATTACCTGAGAGCAGTACAGATAGATCCTCAAGGCGTGGTACAAAAATACCTAAACATTCATTTTTTATTAAAATTCTAATTTTAGATAAATGAATAAAATAAAGTTTTCTTCCAAGCTTCCAAACAAACAATATGCCAGTTAAGTCTAATAATTTGAGCATTGAATATTAATATTTTTTTAAACATTCTTTTCTTATATATTTTCGTTAATTAAAATCTGCCAAATTCGAAATGTGAAAATCCACAAGTTTCAAATCCGAAATCCAACAACAAGGATAGCTTAACAGATAAAAATATATCCATTTTAGTTTCTAAACGTCTGACATAGAGTTTCAATCAAAGTTTCCAATTCAACAAAATCATTTTTACCAGAAACTTTTTTACAGGATTACGCAGAAAGGGTTTAAATATGAGATTTTAAAGAAGTTAGAACTTTAGTGTTGTTAATCTAGGGATTAAGCAATGCAGTGATATTCCAAACCTACGGATTACATGTTTTCCTCCTCGAAACCCTGCTGGGATTTGAATGAGGGATCCAGCATTTGACCTCAAAAAAACCCACATTGGATATTGGGATCATGCGTTCAAGATTAACGATACTCCACGCAAAAAATCCTATCTGTGATTTTGACAGGGTAAGAATAAGATAGACAAAAACTTTCTATGTCGAAAATGTTTTTTAGAATAGGGCACACGTTCATTTTTCCAATGTCTAATATTTTTACAAGATTAATGTTTAATGGATCGAAATAATTCATCATATAGGTTTCCAGCTGGATAAAAATTGAGTAACTTTAAAGTTACGAAATTTATTTGATAATTTTTCTGGAGAAATATCTATCAATAGATTGAGAGAAAAATTGCCAGAAATAATTGAAATATAAAATTTGAATTAAGGCAAAAAAAATTCTATTTGTACAGATTCTATTAACTATATTTAACATTATCATTTTAGTTGCAGTGCGAAAGATTTTGGGCAGAAATTGTTGAAACATTTTTAAAAATATGTTTTTTAATATCACAGAAAAAACATTTTACCCTGCAGAACAAGTTTGCAAGACAGATTCTTTATTTCTTAGACAAGAAATTGAGATGTTTCATGTTAATTTTACAGTTATCTTATTCATATTTTAAATAATTGCATTTAAGCTGGATTTTGCTAGTTCTTAAACATTGGTTTTTAATTGGTTTTAAAAAGACTGTATTCGTAATTTGTCTGATCAAGTATAAATTAGATATTAATGTTAGAAAATGAATATTTTTAATCATGGTTTCATCACAAAAGTGACTTGCGCACATCTACTGCAGGAATGATCAGAATTATACACTTTCAAACACAGAAAGACGATTATAAAATCCACATTTTTGATTTCAAAGTTTCAAGGATAACATTGTAAATTGGACATTACCATCTCTGTATAAAAGGGTCACTTGAAATTTAGCTTACAGTCCCTTTAAAGGGACAGACCGGCTATGTAAGGTAGTTAAACTGAGTATGCAGTGTTGTGGACAAATTCATTTAGGATTCATATGAGACTCATAAAAATTTTCCACGATGTAAAATTACTGAGTTTTAGCGCATAGTCGACGTTCAAAATCATGAATTTGGGTGGGTACCTTTTCAGAATCGGGTTTTTTAATTATTAAATAACGACGACGAAAAATAAAGTAAAAATTATACAGTAAACTAATTAAATGTTTAGGAACATATTTCTCAAAAGAAATTTGTCAATAAACAAAAGTACGATTTTGAACGTCGACTTTGCGCTCAAACTCAGGATTTACAGATCTTTAAAAAGTTTTATATGCCTCAAATGAATCGTAAAGAATTTTTCCACAACACTGCATACTCAGTTCAACTACCTTACATAGCGGGTCTGTCCTTTTAAGTTCAAAATTATTCTCGCCAAATTCCGATTTATCTAGAAAAATAGCTAGATCACAATAAAACAATCAAAGTTTCTGACTTACAATTAAAAGTATAAACTTTTTAAAGAACTCAATATGGAAATTACCCCAAGATGGGACCATAGTTCATTTGGTGCACTATCCCGTTTCGCCTGGTATAGTCTGTGTACTATACAGCTAGCTCTACAGCTGGTTAGATACCGGTCATGGTTTCTTGAAATAAACCAGACTAATCAATCAGTGTTAAAAGCATTTTTTTGCTTTCGATTTGTTTATTTGAACCCTTAAATGTGAGATGTTACAAGAACCTTGCATAAAAATGATATATTCTGTGAGAAACATATATTCCCTGTCACAGAGCCCCAAATTAACTCTGGAAAAAAGTTTTAGTTTTCTATACTGACAATTTGACAGTTACAGTATATAGGCAACATTTGTATCTAACTTTTTCTCATTAGAGATATCCATGCAAGATTCACATGAAATCTTCCTACTCCTAGAATTAATGTTAACTTAGATAATGTTTAACTTTTTAATGTAATATTTAATCTAATTTACTGAAAGAAAGAAAAAATATTCATTTGAAAGTATACAATCTATGGAGGATAGATGTATGTCAAGAGCAGATTATTCTTGTAGTAAAATATTATTTCTTAAATTGTTTTATTATTTAACTATTTTAATTAAATGTAGATATGTGTTAGATAACTCTAGATTTGATTTAAAGGGAGTGTTCGCGAAAAATGAAAGGGGGTATAGGCTTAATGCGATAAAAAAGCGCTTTTGATCGCGGCTAATCTTACTTCTATCTATTGCGTCTATAAGGAGAAAATTGTTATCAACGACTAATACCGAAGAACGCAGCGCCCATACAAATTCAGAAAGATTCAACATTCAACTCATTCAACTCGGATCGTAAAAAAATCTATTTAATTCCAAACAAATCATTCAGATATTACAAATAGTAGTCATCGATTATTTTTCGACGCATTCGTAAATAGTTGATACTTCATAATAATTTGTATTTTTCATGATCTGAGAGTTACATTTATTCCTGTTTCGAGGATTTTCTATAATGAAGACGACATTTTCATATTTTCCAGGAATGTTCGAAAATCCAGCGCCAGCCAAAATTATTTAAAAAAACAAAATCAAAAATATTATGAAATATTAACTATATACAAATGCGTCGAAAAATAATCGATGACTGTTGTTTGTAATATCTGAATGATTTGTTTGGAATTAAATTGATTTGTTTACGATCCGAGTTGAATGTTGCATCTTTCTGAATTTGTATGGGTGCTGCGTTCTTCGGTGTCAGTCGTTTTTAACAATTTTCTCCTAATAGACGCAACAGATAGAAGTAAGATTATTAGCGATCTAAAGCGCTTTTTTATCGCATTAAGCCTATACCCCCTTTCATTTTTCACGAACACTCCCTTTAAGCTTCCATACATAAAGCAAAATAGAGTTGCAATTGTAGAGTTAAACAAAAAAAGTTGTTATTGCCCTGAAAACGTGGTCACATGTTGGTCAAATTCAGTTATTTTGAAAATTATCGATTTTCGATGAAATGTTTTCTCGGAAAAACAATACAAAATAAGCAATTGAATCCCGCAGTTAATCTTAATAAGATTTTTTTAGTTTAAAATAAACTCTTGGGTTACCCACACTTCACAAAGAATAAGACTTCAGAGATGACTACACGAAATCTTTTGTCTGTTTCCTAATCCTCATGATTCCTTGTATCTGCTAAATCGTTTCTTTCTTTTCGTAATCGTTAATCATACCCATTTCAACGGTGTTACAGGTATTTTTCCAAAAGCATTTTTCCATGAGCGACTTCCAAAGTGACAATTTCCCAAGCGGTAACTTCCCAAATGTGCAATTTCCCAAGCTGCAACTTCCAAAAGGTTAGATTAGGCCTTCTGAAGCACAGCGGGCTGCAATGGGGCCGACCGCTACGGCTAGGATAGTCTTGGGAAGTTGTCGCTTGGGAAATTGAACAGTTGGGAAGTTGCCGCTTGGGAAATTGAACAGTTGGGAAGTTGCGGCTTGGGAAAAACCTTTGGGAATATACATCCTTTCAACGACAAAAGTCTCAGCCCCAATTCGTCTTTACAATCTCATACTTTTGGATAAACCTGTATGGTTTTTTACAATCTCATACTTTTGGATAAACCTGTATGGTTTTTTACAATCTCATACTTTTGGGTAAACCTGTATGGTTTTTTACTTCTTAAATTGACACGGGAACCGGTAAAAGTGTTGTATCTATACTAATTAGGTTTCTTTTAGATTATTCTAAAGAAACTAATATTAACTTCTTTCTCTAACCTCAAGCAAAAAAAAATTTGGCGTTTCAGGTACTATAATGAAAAATATCATATTTCTTCATCTTTTCAACTTTATTTAATAAAAAATTTATGAAAAAAGAAATTTATCACGTTGATAAACACTAGTTCAGTATGATAAAAAGAGAGAGGTTTTTCTATTAACTAAGTTGAAGTGCTCAACGTGACCCGTGGAATTTAAAAAAAAATATTGAAGAAAAAATCTAATTTTAAAGCCCAGGAAATTGACTCGTCTCCCTATTTTACTGCTTTCTGGTTCTCAATTATAACTTACCCAGCAGCTGAGAGAGAATGAGAGCTAGCGGAAAGAAGCAGGGTAGACAGATGATGACAATATTGATGCAGATTCTAGTCAGAATACCAGACCCTAGACCATAGATTAATAAATATATAGATCCTGGTCAGAATACCAGACCCTAGACCATAGATTAATAAAAATATAGATCCTGGTCAGAATACCAGACCCTAGACCATAGATTAATAAATATATAGATCCTAGTCAGAATACTAGACCCTAGACCATAGATTAAGAAATATATAAATCCTAGTCAGAATAACAAACCCTAGGCCATAGATCAATAAATATATAGATTCTAGTCAGAATACCAGACCCTAGACCATAGATTAATAAATATAAAGATTTTAGACAGAATACCAGACCCTAGACTAATAAATATATAGATTCTAGTCAGAATACCAGACCCTAGACCATAGATTAATAAATATATAGATTCTAGTCAGAATACCAGACCCTAGACCATAGATTAATAAATATAAAGATTTTAGTCATAATACCAGACCCTAGACCATAGATTAAGAAATATATAGATCCTAGTCAGAATAACAAACCCTAGGCCATAGATTGATAAATATATAGATTCTAGTCAGAATACCAGACCCTAGACCATAGATTAATAAATATATAGATCCTAGTCAGAATAACAAACCCTAGGCCATAGATTAATAAATATATAGATTATACCAGACCCTAGACCATAGATTAATAAATATATAGATCCTAGTCAGAATACCAGACCCTAGACCATAGATTAATAAATATATAGATCCTAGTCTGAATACCAGACCCTAGACCATAGATTAATAAATATATAGATCCTATTCAGAATACCAGACCCTAGACCATAGTTTAATAAATATATAGATCCTAGTCTGAATACTAGACCATAGACCATAGATTAATAAATATATAGATCCTAGTCTGAATACCAGACCCTAGACCATATAATAAAATCAATAATTTTTAAAGTAAACAACATCGATATATTTTTTATTCTTGGTCTAAGAGTTTCGTGCCGATCTGAAAGGCGCTTTCAGTATAAATTCAAGTACCCCTCCATGCAATACCCTATTCTGTATTCACAATGATACACTTGAAGCCGTTTTACCAGTTTGAAAACTGTTTCTGTGAGATAATTTCTACATTTTTTCCTGCAGAAGAAATGCGCAAGTCACTCTACTAAAGAAACCACAATTGAAAATAATTAGTTTCAAAATTATTAATATCAAAATCATATTTGATCAGACAAAGGTTTTAAGAATGGAGGGTCACTTGAAATTACAGGTACAGTCCCTTTGAATAGTCCTGATATACAGTCCCTTTAAATAGTCCTGACAGTCCCTTTAAATAGTCCTGGTATACAGTCTCTTTAAATAGTCCTGATATACAGTCCCTTTAAATAGTCCTGATATACAGTCCCTTTAAATAGTCCTGGTATACAGTCCCTTTAAAAAGTCCTGATATACAGTCCCTTTAAATAGTCCTGATATACAGTCCCTTTAAATAGTCCTGGTATACAGTCCCTTTAAATAGTCCTGATATACAGTCCCTTTAAATAGTCCTGATATACAGTCCCTTTAAATAGTTCTGGTATACAGTCCCTTTAAATAGTCCTGGTATACAGTCCCTTTAAATAGTCCTGATATAAGAAAATATCTCCACTGTAGAGTCAAATCTAGTTCAAGAGAGAATTAGAACTTAAAAGAAAAGTTTTAATTCTTAATTCCGATTTAAATTTAGTATATGTATTTATAAAAATAAACTTAAATTCAGATTTAGGTATTTATAAATATAAACTTAAATTCAGATTTAGGTATTTCTAAATATAAACTTAAATTCAGATTTAGGTATTTATAAATATAAACTTAAATTCAGATTTAGGTATTTATAAATATAAACCTAAATTATGCCTTTTTAAGTTTCTCAAACTGCCAATTAGATGTAAATTACGCAGAATCTGTCCGTTAAAATTTCCAGCTTTTTTCAATCTGGTGTTTTGACCTTCGAGTTTATAAACAATGAATCCAGTTTTGATCAAATCTAAGGTTAACATCATCAGTTTACAATAATATACAAATTAGAGTGTTTAATATATAGTGATCTTGGATCGTTTTTAGTTCAAAATTTGACGTCGCGTATAGGAAGAGGAAATGTGTTTAAAAATATTTATTCTAAACATTTGCTTTTATTCCGTTATGCCAATTTTTGACCTTGATAGAGAATATGTGCAAAAAACGAATGAAAACTAACGTGTTCTAACGCTCGTTCTTGGATCCTCTTTCCTTTTTTATTGGAAAAAAGTATTGCTAAGTTTAATAAAAGCAAACAGTTTTGGAGTTTTGGAAGTTTTATAAAAAGTTTTTAAAAACGAACCAAAACGAGTGACAACACTGAGTTTAGCCAAATAAAAACTGACTTTAATGTAAAATCTTCGATAATTTCAAGGTACACTGTGTTGAGTTCACACCGTGCATAGCGTACACCTGAATTTAAGCGGTTTTCAAGAGATTATCTCAGGGAGCTCTCTGTACTCGATGAACAATAAAAGGTTGAAAGGGTACCGTTGTAAATCGAATATTGCAGATGCTCACTTGAAATTACACTTACAATCTCTTTAATAGTTATTACCTACGACCTCCTCTTGTTCTGAATCCGTAGATCCCAGTTTTCTCAATAGCTTCCTTCCGTTGTGCTTCAGAGAGGCAACATTCTCGAACACCTGGGATAAAAAAATGTTGTATTATATAAATCTGATCATATCTTATGGATAAATTTTATTTTTCTTCGATATCCTGTGGTGGTCATACCCCGCATAATTAAAGAATCAAATATTTGTCCTTAAATTTAAAAGTGTCCATTTTGGATATCGAGACCAATTCTTCAAATTCTTCCACGAGGTTTTTATATGAAAAACTGGATGAAGACAACTTGTTTATACTTTACATTTTGTATCACTGTATACCTTGGGTATATTTTCCAGACTGCAATTACAGTAGTGCATTGCCAGAATGTACGCAAATGCAACAGGACCTAAATAGATAAATATAAAAACAAGATCCTTAAATACAGGGTTATCCACAAAGAATAAGATCTAATTAAGACCTGAAACTCATTATAATGTTACCAACTCAAGGTTAAATTAATTCTTTAATATCTAGTCTTTTGGTGGCTCATGCTAAATAATGAATGACAAGTTTGCAGCCGTGAGGAAACATGAATTTAAGGAAACAGACGGTATAAATTCCGTACAGTCGTCTCTGAAGTCTCATTCTTTGTGGGTAACCCTGTATAGTAATTATACTTTGTTTTGGTTCGCAAAGCTTAAAAGTTTTTTAAGAAATTTTCTCTGTCGACATCAGAGAAATTTTAAATCCATAAACACGTCGTGTTAATAAAATAGTGCTTTAGATACTTTAATTGAAAGTTTTGAATGCATGTTGTGCAGTTGTTGCTAGCTAAATTTTTCAGAGATAAAGTATTCTCAAAATTTTAGAAATCAGTTTTGGACTGACAATAACTACAGACACCCAGCTGTATAATTATTAAGCTTTTCAAGAAACCAAACAAAAGTTTTTGTCCTAAGTTAATTTATCTAAAAAGAAACTCTTGAATTTTTTTGGAAAATCCGCGGAATAAATAAAGCAAGTGTGCTATAATATGATATATTAGCTTGTGAACCCAGCGCTGCCAAGGTTACTAAAAGTTACTCCCACCGTTTACCCGCGCTTGAACGATTTTCCCAGGTAACTACATTTTCGCTTTTAAAGTCGACCCACTCAACTTAGAATCTCAAAACCAAAAGCTATTCTCGTGGGCCTCTCGAATTCCCCAATATAAATGTGAGGCAAATCGGTCCAAGGGTTCCTGAGTCATGATGGGACAAACAAACAAACAGATTACAACTTTATAGATATAGATATTTAGCTAATTTAACATAATTAGAACTGCAAAGAAGAAAACTTAGCATGAACTTATAAAATGCACATTAGTTTTAAAAATTTTAAAAAGTTGTAAAAAAAGGAAATTACAATTTTTAAACACGTTACCGTTTTACCAGAGAAAAAAGAAACAATTTTTAAGCGGATTAGTAATTCATATAAAAACCACAAATTCCTTTGCAAAAATGTTGTGATTTTGAAAGTGCAATTATTGAAATCACGTTTTAAGGATTTAAGTTGAGTTTAGACATTTTTAAAAGAATTAAGCTTAGTGGTTCTGTAAAAAAAATATATTTTTTATCTTTTATTTTTTACATTTTTTAAACGTAAATGTTTGTATCTTCAACGAGAATATAGAATATGGATCAATGTTATTCATATAAATCTTGTTTAAGGACGGTTTACAGTGTAATTAAAAGATTAAGAGGGCTATGATTTGACATTGATACTTTATTGCCAATTAATCCTCGAAAAAAATATATTCTTTTTTTTCTTTTGATATTTTCAAGGTTTTTTTTCTACTTTCAGGAGGTTTTACAAAAAATCTAAAATGTAAGTTTAGGAAATCTTCTGCCTGAGTCGAGATTTTTTGTAACAAAAACAAATTTAAAGAAAATTTAATTTTGAAATATAGAAAGATTCTCATATTTTTGTTCAGTCTCCTGATAGCCTTAAAAATGTTCCATGTTTAAAAACATAGAAAACGTTGCTTAACTCTGAATACAAGCGAAACAAACAGATGGGGTTCAAACAAAACAATGAATGAGGAAGAATTTGAGCCGCGGTTTAAATCCGCCAGAACCCGGTTTAAATTCAGCGCCGGCTTAAATCTTTAAACATTTGATACAATTTTAAGTGGAACCAGCCATATTTAAACCGCGGCTTAAATTTAAACCGCCGCTCAAATTTTTTAAATTCGGCCACAGATTTACTAGACTCAGAATAATGAAGGCCATTGTTTTCAAGTTTGTTCATACCAGAGATAAGAGAGTTACAGAGATCGATTATCAGCTAAAATATGCAATATTCTGCACAGCATGTTCTATTGTGTACAAGTACTGTACACGACCACTCAGCAAACATCTGTATTCAGGGATATTTAAGGATCCTTTGCATAAGACTAAATTCCTAAATGTTATGTTTCATGTTTAAAATTGGAGTATTTCTTTAAAAGTTGTAAAACTTAACCCCTGAATGGGTATTATGTTCAAAAAGTGGTCGTTAGATGACAACCTAAAAGCATATCGTAAAAACGTAGCATGTCGTGCCGGGTCAACTTAGGCCTACGTAAGACCACCCTATTAATTGAGATAAGCAGTCTGTGTAGTCTGTGGTTCATGCATATTTAAAGTTTTTTAGGATTAAATGTGTCTTAAATAATTCATAATGTTTAACGCACAACAAAATTTGCAATAAGTTTGCTTTTATCGCATTAAGCAAAATAAAAACGATTTATTAAAACGATTTTAACAATTTAAAAAAAATCGTTTATGGATATCTCTGGTTAGAGTAAAAATTTGGTATAAAATAAAACAGGAAACTTATTGAGAATACAATTTAAAAAAGATTGACCTATCCCCGATTCTTTTTTAGCCTCTTAAAAATCCAATAGCCTTGAATGTTTGACAACTGACTTCAAAGCGATATCCATGAGTACAGTGAGTGAAGTTATATCAAATGCACACTCTCATGAATTCTATACATAAACCTTTCATACTTTAAGCACTTATAGCTGTTCATTAATGTTTACCTTTGAAAATGAATGCTCTCACAAGAGGGTTAAAGAAAGCACCCCACATAGGTTGAAGTCAGGCAAGGAGTACTCCGATGAAGCTGAATTGAAGATATATTCACCAGAAGACTCCGTTGAGGACATCATTGCCTCCGATGGCTTCGACAATACTGAGATTGGTGACGAAGGCTCGAAGATTGATGAAATAGACGAAGATGATTTTGGAGGGACTCTGCTGCTGGGGGATAGTATCAGAGTATCCCCTCCGGAAAATGGAGAGGCGTTGGAGGATGGACCTTCAGAATTCAGAACCTCCATCTTCTGGAGGTTGTCCTCCAATATCCTCCCGTTGTTGCTGCCATAAACAGGACTCTTTTCTAGAAATAGATCAATTCTGACATTAACTCTAATCAGGTCTAATTTTAGATTCATAAAATAATAGAGGAAATGTACGCACCAAGGAGGAGACTTTACAGACGACTGTTCGAATATCTTTGAGTCTTATTTCTTACTTTCTCAGCTTTCTAGTTTTCTTTAACTGTAAACTTATTTCTCTTGTTGAACAATCATTTATTTTACGATAAAAAGACTGTATATAAGACAGAAGACAAATTTTAACCTTTAGCACTTTTTATTTCAAGAGTTTTAGAATTTTTGCAGGTCGTCGTTAAAGTTTCATCCTTATATATCCTCCTTATATAGCTATACATCCTTCTTTCCGAATTATCTATATATATACTTTGCTTGTCTGTCTGTCTGTTTGTTTCTTTGTATACAATAAACGTCAAAACGGCTGAACTGATCGGGCCCAAATTTTTTTGGGACCTCACGGGACCCCAGGTAAGGTTTATGAAAGATTAAAATTTCAAAAATTTTCCTCTAACAAATATCGATTTTTGAAAATTTTGAAAATCCACGAAATTTTTGTTTGTTTTTGTTTTACAATGTATACAAGGAGAACATGTTCACAATTGAAATAAAGACGGGCGCGAAGCGCCTTGCAAACCTAGTTATCTTGATTATTTTAAGTTAAATATGCAAAGACATAATTAAAAGCAATAAAAAATTTAAAATAATTAAAAAATTGCGAGCCATGCTTAATCAATGATCAACCGTAATATCTTCTATGTACATTTATACTTTTATTTTGAGAAATATAATAACATTTACCAGTATTGTATTTATGGTATTAATTGTAATTATGATATAATTGTTTTTAAATAAAATGCTCTTAAAAGATCAATAAAAATTTCAGCAACTTTGAAAATGAAACATTGTGTAACAACACAGAAAATGTATGCGTCGAAAAATAATCGATGACTTTAGGTTGTAATATCTGAATGATTTGTTTGAAGTTAAATTGATTATTTTACGATACAAGTCGTATATTACAACTTTCTGAAATTGTATAAACGCCAGGTTCTTCAGTATAAGTCGTTTTAAACAATTTTATCTTTAATGACGCAACAGATAGAAGTAAGATTAGTAGCGTTCAAAAGCGATTTTTTTTCGCCGTAAGCCTATACCCCCTTTCATTTTTCGCGAACACTCCCTTTGAGAATGCTTGATCTATCAAAGTTATCCCTGCACGCGGATATTGAAGAGATATTCAATTAGTCCATAGGTCAGCACAGATGTATATCAATGATTGATTCTGAGATTCAAATCACAAAAGTTAAAACTTCGAAAAATTAGAAGTATTCAATGTAATGTACTGCGCGGCGAAAATATTATGTACTGTTCCATATCATATAAGAATTAAGTGCATGCATGTATATGAAATCGATCTAATTACAATAATTGGTTGAATCAAGTAATCATGCATTTTTCTACGCTCACCCTGGGACCTGCATTCTTTCAAGCTTCTTTTCCAACAACTTTGGCAGACTAAAAATTAATTATTTTTATCAAGAGACTTTATAGATATATAATTACTGGTTTATTTTCAATTAAAGGGAATTTTCATAAATTGCGAATTTTTTAATTTTCAAGAGTTAGAATGAAAGTTTCACGCCAAAATAAAGTAAATTTTTCGGAAAATTGATATTTTTATTTTTTTAATTTATATTTTTATCTAAAGCTTCTATTTTTAACGAGTAATTGAAAGGAACAGTGTAAGGTGTTGAATTTTTATATTTTTCATGTTTTTTATATGCTGCAACCAATGTTGAATTTTTTATATTTTTTATATTTTTTATACGCTGCAACAATGTTTTTATATGCTGCAACAATGTTTTTATATGCTGCAACAATGTTTTTATATGCTGCAATGCAATAATGTTTTTATATGCTGCAACAATGTTTTTATATGCTGCAAAAATGTTTTTATATGCTGCAACAATGTTTTTATATGCTGCAACAATGTTTTCATATGCTGCAACAATGTTTTTATATGCTGCAACAATGTTTTTATATGCTGAAACAATGTTTTGATATGCTGCAATAATGTTTTTATATGCTGCAACAATGTTTTGATATGCTGCAATGCAATAATGTTTTTATATGCTGCAACAATGTTTTTATATGCTGCAAAAATGTTTTTATATGCTGCAACAATGTTTTTATATGCTGCAACAATGTTTTCATATGCTGCAACAATGTTTTTATATGCTGCAACAATGTTTTTATATGCTGAAACAATGTTTTGATATGCTGCAATAATGTTTTTATATGCTGCAACAATGTTTTGATATGCTGCAATGCAATAATGTTTTTATATGCAACAATGTTTTGATATGCTGCAACAATGTTTTTATATGCTGCAACAATGATTTTCTTTGCTTTGCTCAAAACTATATGGCTACAAAAGTCGTACAAGTAATTTATCACGGAAGAATTACGTTTGTAAAAAATCTAAATTTTATTTGTAGGGTTGGAACAAAAATAAAATCAATAGACTTCCAAGACTTCCAATCAAGAAAATAGAATCATATTGGAGAATTGACTTTGAGAAATCTAAACGAAAAATATTTCTTCGTAAAACAATAAACCTTATGGCGTATTTTTATGGTATAAACTAAACATTTTTGAACATCAAAACTGCCCCGCCCCCCCCCTGGAAAATGAATTTTTTCGATCTTTCCATTTTCAAGTGTAATTAAAAGTTCAAAGTATAAAACTACAAAGGACATTAAAAGTTGGAAATCTCTGAACTGTGAACATTTAATTAAAGATTCTTCTTACTGGTAAATATCAGCGTATGTATGTTTCAAACTAAAATTTTGCAAAAAGTCAACCCATTTAACTTAATAAACTCAAAATCAACCTAAGAACATGCCCGTGGTTCTCCACTCAAAATTTGAGTCAGATCAGTCAAGGGGTTCCTGAGTTTTGATCGGAAAAACAAACACAGACAAACAGATTACAACTTAATGTATAGAGATAACAAAATAATTTGCAACTACAGTGAATCCCAGATTTATGAATACATAGCAAGAGATTTTTATAATGTCGTATTACATATTTAAGATCAAATGCATGCAACGGTAAAGTGAGTCTAATATAGCCCTGAAATATAAATGCAATTGATATATTAATATTTAACTCATTTTTCCGCGGCATTTGATCTTGTAAAAACTCTCAATAAACAGCTTGTTAAATATAAAACTACTCAAATTAAAATAGCATGTTATGTATTAAAAATACTCAATAAATAGCTTGTTATGTATAAATACCACGCAATAAATACTTGTTTATGTTCTAAAACTACTTAATAAATAGCTTATTATGAATAAAAACTACTTAACAAATATCATGTTATGTATAAAATATAAAAACTACTCAGTAATTAGCTTGTTATATGTATAAATACTACGCAAGAAATAGCTTGTTATGTATAAAAAACTACTCAAAAAATAACTCATTATGTAGAAATATTATTCAATAAATACCTTGTTATGAATAAAAACTACTCAATAAATATGAAACTACTCAATAAATAGCTTATTAAATTTAAAACTATTCAAAAAATAGCTTGTTCAATTCAAAACTACTCAATCAATAGCTTGTTAAATATAAACCTTCTCAAAAAATAGCTTGTTATGTATAAATACTACTTAAAAAGTAGCTTGTTATTTATAGAAACTGCTCAATAAATAGTTTATTTTGCATAAAAACTACTCAACAAATAGCTTGTTATGTATAAAAACTTCTCAATAATTAGCTTGTTATGTATAAGTACTATGCAATATAGATTTTATGTATTAAAAATAAACAATAAATAGCTTGTTATGTTAAAAAAATACTCAACAAATAGCTTGTTAAGTATAAATTCTACTCAATAAATATCTTAATGAATAAAAAACTATCAATAAATAGTTTGTTAAATATAAAACTACTCGTCTAATGGCTTGTTGAATATAAAACTACTCAATAATTATCTTAATGAATAGAAAACTACTAAATAAATAGTTTGTCAAATATAAAAATACTCCACAAATGACTTGTTAAATATAAAACTACTCTACAAATGGCTTGTTAAATAAAAAACTACTCTAAAAATGACTTGTTAAATATAAAACTACTCTACTAATGGCTTGTTAAATATAAAACTACTCTACAAATAGCTTGTTAAATATAAAACTACTCTACAATGGCTTGTTAAATATAAAACAACTCTACAAATAGCTTGTTAGATATAATAATACTCTACAAATAGCTTGTTAAATATAAAACTATTCTACAAATGGCTTGTTAAATATAAAACAACTCTACAAATAGCTTGTTAGATATAAAAATACTCTACAAATAGCTTGTTAAATATAAAACTATTCTACAATGGCTTGTTAAATATAAAACAACTCTACAAATAGCTTGTTAGATATAAAACTACTCTACAAATAGCTTGTTAAATATAAAACTATTCTACAAATGGCTTGTTAAATAAAAAACTACTCTACAAATGGATTGTTAAATATAAAACTACTCTACAAATGGATTGTTAAATATAAAACTACTCTACAAATGGATTGTTAAATATAAAACTACTCTACAAATGGATTGTTAAATATAAAACTACTCTACAAATGGATTGTTAAATATAAAACTACTCTACAAATGGATTGTTAAATATAAAACTACTCTACAAATGGATTGTTAAATATAAAACTACTCTACAAATGGATTGTTAAATATAAAACTACTCTACAAATGGATTGTTAAATATAAAACTACTCTACAAATGGATTGTTAAATATAAAACTACTCTACAAATGGATTGTTAAATATAAAACTACTCTACAAATGGATTGTTAAATATAAAACTACTCTACAAATGGATTGTTAAATATAAAACTACTCTACAAATGGATTGTTAAATATAAAACTACTCTACAAATGGATTGTTAAATATAAAACTACTCTACAAATGGATTGTTAAATATAAAACTACTCTACAAATGGATTGTTAAATATAAAACTACTCTACAAATGGATTGTATATGTTAAAACTTCATCCTTTTCCAACTTCATTTTCTAATTTTCTTATCAAATTGTTTAGATGATGATGAATGAAGAAATATAAAAAGATAAAATTGAGTTTAAAACTTTTAAATACCTGATAAGTTGTTGAGCGGACACTTTTGATCTGATCTTCTAAGAGAGAATATTTCTATCCCACTCAGGAAATCTTTTTTAGACATTCGTTAGAATTAGTTTGTAAGTTTTGGTTTTATATTTTTTCCCTTTTGAGTATATCAAACTTTAGGTAAGAAGTCGGTCATTTTTACCCCAGCCAAATTTCATAAAAGTCAAATCAACTAAAAAACAATATGTTATGCCTCCCAAAAACATTAATCGGTCCCGGACCCCAATCCCTTTTTCTTTTAACACCCTTTGGTAATTTCATAAATAAAAAATGTATATAAAAGAGAATAGAACATGTCGTGCAAAAAAGGAGTCACGTGCTTCTCAATGCTGCCCCTCAAAGGATTTATGTTACTGCCACGATTTTAAGACATGATTTTAGGATATATGGGAAAGTTCCTTAATGCGTAACTAACACAACTAAAGTTACTTTTGTATATTTTATTTTAAATGATAAAAACATTCCGGGACTAAATTATGTTCTCCAACCCCTTAACTGGTTTAACACTTTTACCCTCTCAAATCGTTTTTCTCGAAAATTCGACGAGAGGGCATAAGGAGTCAGTCCTAAACTGAAATTTCTAAAATTTCTCCATGTTTAGATAATGTTCAGATTAAACTGTAAAAAAAGTATGAGTTTATTTCAAGAATTATATATACATTGAAGATATATTCACAATGAACAGATTAGAATGAAGAGAAAGATTAGACTATCCAATCTACCATAATCCTTTTTTTCATTTCAAAATACAATTGAATTTGGATTTAGGAAATTTATTTTTAGTCGTAAAACTATTGGTGCATTTTTTAATATTAGATGAAAAAATAAATTTGTTTTTAATTTCTTTTTTTTTTGAGCAAATTAAACATATTTTAACAAGAATTACCTACATAAACAGCTATATTTTGTTGTTGCTAATTTCAGTTTTTTAAAAGATATTATAAGCATACTGCAATCTTAAAAACAAAGATTTAATTTTTTCTAATTTTTCCCCGGAATCTGGAGGCTTTTAATTTAGCTGAATTGAAAGCTAAATAAAGCTTTCTAAAAAGAATAGACAATAAGTTCATTCTTTTGTAATTTAGGTTAATTAAAATCAAAACAATTTAGTGTTTTGCTTTTTAAAGAAAACCATATTATTCATGATTTGTTCTTAAAATTCTTTAAAGTTGAATTCTAACCAGTTTTGGTACCTAGAAATGGAAACAATAAGAATATATAATCATGTTTTGGTAAATTAAAATAATGTTCGTAAAATTGCATCCTCCAGTTTCCCTTTTTTGTTGTAAAAAATCTAAGCAATAATTATTAACAACTACTTTTTTGATAATTTATGGGAATTTTAATTTACAAAGGGTTCCCAAGTTCAATTTAATTTACCAAGGGTTCCCAAGTTTAATTTACCAAGGGTTCCCAAGTTTAATTTACAAAGGGTTCCCAAGTTTAATTTACCAAGGGTTCCCAAGTTTAATTTACCAAGGGTTCCCAAGTTTAATTTAATTTACCAAGGGTTCCCAAGTTCAATTTAATTTACCAAGGGTTCCAAAGTTCAATTTTCATACAAAACATTCAAATGTAGTTTGGCACAATTTTATCGTCTATCTAACGTGAAAATGAAATGAAAAAAAAATTTCCGGAAACTTCACATGAACGGGAGGTTATTTTACTTAATTGTCCAGAGGGACTTTAAGTAACCTAACATCCCGCTGTTGGGGGAAAGATGGGTAGGTATAATATTGGTGAAAAGGTGGAAAAGAAAAGTATAAATTATGTTAATAAAAGATAACGAATGCCTGTGCCAATGTCGAATGTCGACAATAGAAGTCCTAAGACCAGAAGATCAAAAAGTCTCAAGCATTGTTGAAGCATCGTCTCAAAATCTTCTCCTCCTTTTCTAAGATTTTACCGGATCACATTTCTAGGTTGTAAAACTTGTTGTTCTCTTGGCACAGTTTATTTCTAACTGCAATAGAAGTATAAGCTCTCCGAAGATACTTCCGTAATCTCGGAGTCCAAACTTTTAGAGAGAAAACAATATCGCTCTTCTCTCGGTTTAAATTAACCCCCCGCCCCCTTCCCTCCTTAATGATCAAGGGGTATTGCAGAGGGCCTGGATCCTCTAGAGGATTTGGTTGACACGGAAATTTACAGGACAAAAAGAGATACAAATTTTGAAAAATCCTTCAATGTTTTTGCACTTTTTCAATATTTTCATATTACCTATCTTAGAAACTTTTTTTCATTCAAGTTACACCTTACCATGTTTTTTGAGGTTGATATACATAAATGTAATTATCGATATTATTTGTCTTAATTCATTTTGAAATTATTTTTCTTAAAAATACGTACACCATATAAATTTCATTAAATTATTTCGCGTTTGAAACACTTAACTTTGTTATCAATTGGATTTGAAAACTTCAGACTTGCACATTTTAGAATAGCGTTCGTAGATATTTTTGCATAAATTTTCAAGGCTGGATCGCGGGCTTGAATTTTACCTCGCTAACTGACTGAAACCTTTCCGTATCCCAAGTTAAGTAATTTTAAATCTATAGAGCACTTTAGCTTTAGTTTTAAAGATGCAAGTATGTAAAAATTCGAATCGATTTTTTTTGCCGTTGAACTTGCAACCTTTAAATCATTGTGCACGAACCATAAAATATTAGGTTATCCCCCCCCCCCTGTCCCCATGAAAATATCGAAGATGCCTAGCAATACATCTATTTAGAAGATATGAGAAGAAATATGATATAGATGCAGATTGCATAAAAGGGATAATGATATCCATGCATGCATTATATCTTAAAGGGACTTTAAGCGAAATTTCAAGTGAGCCTCTGTTTGTAGAAGGCAGTGTCCGATACCCAACAGTACCTTTAAAACCTTTAAAACCTAGTCAAGGATGACGGACTTATCCTTATTTATCTACAGAAACTACAGAAACTACAGAAACTACAGAAACTACGGAAACTACAGAAACTACAGAAACTACAGAAACTACAGAAACTTCAGGAACTACAGAAACTACAGAAACTACGGAAACTACGGAAACTACAGAAACTGCGGAAACTACAGAAACTACAGAAACTAAAGAAACTACAGAAACTAAAGAAACTACAGAATCTACAGAAACTAAAGAAACTACAGAAACTAAAGAAACTACAGAAACTACAGAAACTACAGAAACTACAGAAACTACGGAAACTACAGAAACTACAGAAACTACAGAAACTACAGAAACTACAGAAGCTACAGAAGTTACAGAAACTACAGAAACTATAGAAACTGCAAACTACAGAAACTACAGAAACTACAGAAACTAAAGAAACTACAGAAACTACAGAAACTACAGAAATTACAGAAAAGCTTGTAATATATCCAAAACTATAAGAAAAGCAACTTTTGGTTAGTTAACTTAAACCAAGGAAAAAATACAAAAATGCACAATTTTGTGAAATTGATAAAAATAAATCGGGTTTAAAAACTCCTTAAACTTTCTCTGTTGAGTGCGTGCATAACTTGATAATTTAATGGATTATAACTTTTAATATTTTTTTTCCATGACCCTCTTTGTGACAAAAATTGATCTGGGTGTTCAATAAAGCAGTATATGGTGGCATCTCGTAACAATGCATTTGTGTATTTGTGAAAGCATTGATCGTATAATATGTATTATAATTCTTAAATTACTGTAAGCATTAATTAGTTTTGTTAAAGTTTAATTCAGTTTTTAGCATTAAAACATATTCTAAAATGATAGCTGCAGTAAAAAAAAAAGATTCTAAACTCTTTTATCAAATTTAAGTCGTGAAGTTTTAACCAATAAATGTTAAAATAATATAATTATTGCTATAACGATTTAAATTATATAAACATGGAAACAGAATATATTTTAAAGATGTTTTAAAATACGCAGAAAACGATGAAAAATCCTATTCCGACAAAAATAAATATTTATAAAAAGTTGCTGGACCGTTAAAAATCCTATTTAAACCTATTAAGCTTCCAATTTCTTTATTGTATATAAACGAACAAAATATTATTTTAAGAATTTAAAATGAGAAATTTCTTGGACCGTTGATAATTTTTTCTTTGGAATTCGTAAAGAATGTGACGACTGTACGGAATTAACTCAGTTTTTTTTTACAAATTACATTTATGGTCCTTACTTCTATCTTTCTTTGTCAAATATTTCAGTATATCATTTAAAACAAATCCAAAAGATTATTTAGCTGAGGCTGCTTGTAGGGGGGAGGGGGATGTCCAACCACTGGAAAACTAGGGGGAAGTCCCCCTCTCCTGGAAAAATTAGGAGCTAAAGAAGAGAGAGCAGGCACCTTCTAGCCATTTAATTTAGATTTTTAAGAATAGATTTCAAAATGTTTTGCTTTAGGCGCCACTTTTTGAACTCAAAATTAATATTTAAAAAAAAAATAGTTAAAATCTTGCTAACACACTTTCTGCACTTCCACCCCTAGCTGGTTTTGAAATAAAATTTACCAAATTCCTTGTAAAAATTTCCAGGGGGGACAATTATTCCCTCCCCCCCCCCTCCACCTGTAAGATATCATGAGCCGCCCCAGTGCGCATGTAAAGTTATCCTTTTAGCACTGCACTAAAAATAACTGAAACGAGAAACATTTCTTCAGTCATCCGCCAGAAATAGCATTAAATACTTTACAAAAAACCGGTTTATTTACCTGGTGAAATGGTTTATTTACCTGGTAAAATGGTTTATTTACCTAGTAAAATGGTTTATTTACCTGATAAAATGGTTTATTTACCTGGTGAAAATGGTTTATTTACCTGGTAAAATGGTTTATTTACCTGGTGAAAATGGTTTATTTACCTGGTAAAATGGTTTATTTACCTGATGAAAATGGTTTATTTACCTGGTGAAAATGGTTTATTCACCTGATGAAAATGGTTTATTTACCTGATAAAATGGTTTATTTACCTGATGAAAATGGTTTATTTACCTGGTAAAATGGTTTATTTACCTGTTGAAAATGGTTTATTTACCTGGTGAAAATGGTTTATTTACCTGGTAAAATGGTTTATTTACCTGATAAAATGTTTTTTTTTACCTGGTGAAAATGGTTTATTTACCTGATGAAAATGGGTTAATTTGAAGCGTTATCAGGCCTCGTGCCTTGCTCATTCCGACCTTTTACATCTGTTTTAAAGCCCTGGATTTGAATATGTCAAAACATAGGTCACGTGTTTGGTTGGCAAAATCTTGATCAATTTGAATTTGAATATTTTACTATATATTCCAAACCTTTTACAGGGTGTCCAATTAAAAGTTTAAAAGTAAAATGCAGATTTTAAATTCAGTTTTAATTTCAAAGTATTTTAAAAAAATATACTTAAATCTACTTAGAATTTAGTCATGATTTTGAATAATTTAGAATTAAAAAAACAATAATAGCCTCCTCTTCAGGGTGTCCGTCCTCGAATTCAAAATCGATATTTAAATTTTCAAAATCCTGCCAGGACTTAACATAGGCCATCCTGCTCTTGTCCTTAATCTGGGCGAAGACTTCATCATCGGCGTAGATCTTCTTTCTCTCGTCCATCTTTACACTTTTCTATGAACGTCTTCTTAGCTCAGGGGTTCCATGTGGAATAAGTTTGAAATCAGATTTCTGCATTTTCTTGACAAGTTTTGTGAATTTTGCATTCTCAAAACAAAATATTTCATGAAAATATTTGTTTCCATTAAAAATTCTAAATTTATTCTCAACACATCCCAAATAGATGGTATGTAATCGCAATGTGACTTTAAATTGCCAATGTACGGCTGATTTAGAAAGTGCTGGATATTATTTTTATTTTTGCGGGACAAGAAAAAAAATAATATCCCGCACTTTCTAAATCAGCCGTACATTGATAGTTAGTACCTCACAGTAAATAAATAATATCCTACTATACAGTGATAACCAGAAATATGAAAAAAAAACTTTTTAAATGTACTTAAGCGTATTTGATGTAGTTTGGAAACAAATACTTTTACAAAACACAAGTAAATATACCCACTTCAAGACACTTGAAATAGGTATGTTAACACTACTACTAATTGGACTACTTGAAGCCATAACTTTAGTCTAAAAGTCGTCTTTCTATGTAAGAGGTTTCTGGTTCTCAGTGATGATAATTGAACACAAACAAAATTTATTCAAGTAATGTTGGAAGGAATGTCTGGGGATTTGATTTATTTTTATTTACAATGGCTTCTATTTGTATAACCTATGGAAAACAGGATATTAACTATCAAGTAAATGAAGCCTTTCAGTGTCTAGTTTTTGTTGCAATATTTCTGGTAAAATTTAATATCGTGCACAAGGCGCTGTGAGCGTAAAACCTTTCATTTACAAAGTATATAAATGTACAAGTTAAGCCTTTGCCTAGCTGAGTATACGGATGAATAAGATATTCGCTTTTTTCAGCTGAAAATTAACTATTTCCTATGGGGTATCTACAAGACAAACGGATTTTGGCTGCTGAGACAATTTAGGAAATTGTGAGAATTTAACATTAAGGGAACCATATTAGAATTCGATCAATTCAATCATGGCCATGGCCATGGCCATGGCCATGGCCATGGAATATATTTACCCATATGGGTAAATATATTCCACAGTCCATTTAAAACAATGTTTTCTGTGGAACTGAGGGATTAATATATTTCATTATCATATTTAATTATATTATATCATTATCATAATTCTAAATAAGTACTTTATTTGTTTATTTTAGAATTGGTTCCAAATTACCTAGCAAGTGTGGCGGGGAAGGGGCACTTTTTTTTCTTTATTTCTGAACCATTAAAGCATAGTTTAACCCTATTCCTGCTGGGGGGGGGGTCAAGTTGCCCCCCCCCTGTAGTTTTTTTACATAACTCAAAAAGTATTGGTCTGAGGCTGTTGAAATTTTCTGACTTTTCCTACATACCCAAAGCCCTCTCTTTAGGCCTAAAACCGGGTTTAATACTAACTGCCAG